CCTGGAAATCAAAGGTTCAGATTTTGGGACCGTTATTCAAAGTGGATTTGAAAAGGGAACACCAACAGTTTGAAAGGTCGGTTTTGAACAACCAATAATTCCTTTTGGCTTTTAAAGGGTGGTTCCCTTTGGTTACCTACTACACGCGGAAATGGAATCGCTGGGTGTGATAAACTATTAACCCGGCGATTCAATTTCCCTGCAGGTAACCAAGGGTTACCTGCACCCTTCACACGCCCAAATCGAACATGCCACTCCCCCACAATGGTGGGTGTCCTTTTTGGTTTCCCGCCAAAACACCCCCAAAATAGGGTACCCGAAAAAAGGACAGACCCACCTACTATGGTGGTAACGCCCACACCGATCCCAGTTTTGGGCTGGTTTAGCTTTCCCGAAAAGAAGCAAAAAGGGTACCCTTTAAACATATTTAAATAAAACACGGTTTGAATTCATCATCCTATTCAAACATGGCCCCCAAAAGTGGACCAACAGATTCTAACACCCTGACATGCCACAAAACCCGCTCGGCGCTCCTTTAGTGTTTGTTTTCAACTAACCCCAAGAAGGTTTCTCTCATCAAACATGTCTGGCTGTGGCTCACAATTTAAGAGCTAAGGTTACGCGGTTTGAGTCTTCGGTTCCACTTAGCAAGGTGCCTTTTTGGTACATGTATTTGAGCCGCGGCCATGTGTGTGTTTCTTCCCCAACAGCTGAAAACGTCAGCCCAGGAGGGTTCCGCGAGGGTTCTGTGAGAGTTCTCCGAAACCGCGAGGGCGGGTGCTGTTGGGGATATCACCTGAGCTTATTTCGTCATTTCAATCACTCTCCCCCCTTTATTTTTATGTTTTTTTTTTTTTTTTTTTTAAACAGACAAATACATGAACACAAACACATACACATACCAAGCAACAACATCTACCCCCCCCCCCCGCCCCCCGCCCCGCTCCCCCCCTCCCCCCCGCAAGGAAAAACAAAAAACAAAACCCGCAGCCTGCCCATGCCGACGGGTCCTCCCGCAGCTTGGCGTACTGACGCTGGATCTCCAGCCAAAGCTTCCGGTCCTTCCCCATGACGCCTGTGAGGCGGCGCGACATTTTACGGTGGCTGGGTCTGTTGTTAGCGCACGTCGTCTTTTTGGTGGGGCTCTTAAAGGGAAACCAGCATTTAAACCTGAGGCAACCCCATGTTTTTTGGCTTGGTTTTGTAAAGCGCAACCAAAAGGCAACCACAATTGGGGACCCATTTGGGGATGGTTGAAGCGGTTGAAGAAAACCAAAAGGAAACTACTTGCCTCAAACAAAAGGAGACACACCAAACTGAGAGATTGATGGCTCGGTGGTTCAATTTGCAGTTTCGATTGGTGTCAAGAAGCAGTTCAAACCCAATAAAAAAATCCGGATCAGGAAAGGAGCAAGAAGCAGTTCAACTCCCCAACAACAAATCCTCTACAAGAAGCAGTTCAAATCCCCAACAAGAATCTTTTCCGGATCAGGTGAGTAGGGATTGGGGGAAACTCCCCTTTATCCATGGAGGGTAACCATGGGGCTTCCCCTCGGAACGAAACAGTAAACTAAAAACAACAATAATAACAAAAATAATAATAATAATCATAATAATCATAATAATAATAATAATAATAATAATAATAATAATAATAATAATAATAATAATAATAATAATAATAATAATAATAATAATAATAATGATAATACTAATAATAATTATTATTATTATTATTAATGATTAATAATAATAATAATAATAATAACAAAAAAGGGGGCTGTCCAGTGGACCAAGGCCCTTTAAAGGACGGATCTGGGATCGCCTTTGTTAAGAGACCCCAACTTCATCCTCGCAAATGGCGTAGACTCCCCACAGCCGAGAGAATCTTAGGGCCCCTGAATATGACTTCTCCAGAACAATGGATGGGTCCCTCTTTTCTTTACCCCTTTGTGGCTGGCTTTAGGAACACCGAAGCCATTTTGGAGTGTCCCGGGTCCCTCGGATTTTTCCGAGGTGCTACCTTTTGTTTTTGGTATTTGTTGTTTTTCCCCGTTCAACACCACATTGGAGGGTCCCCCGAAAAAGACACTGATCTAGGGCTACCTTCCCCGTTCTTTCCAGGGATCCATTTTTTTCGGGAAACCACCCAAAACCCAGGGGAAGCGGATCCGGTTTTTGCAAAGAAGGATGGCTGAAAAGAATGGAAAAGGAATCAACCCCTAGAACTGAAACAGATCCCCATGGCCGCTCGGCGCACGCTGGCAACGCGCCTCGGGGGAAGCCTTGCAGTCGACTCGCGCGCCAGCGCGCAGCACATGAGCTACATCGCGCACAATAGCCTAGAAAATCGGACGTGGGTGTTTATATATATATATATATGTTATATACTGTATATATATATAATATGTGTATGTATTCTGTGCTTCGGGTAGTATTTCGGGGCTGTTTGAAAGGGAAACCTCACAGGAGACCACCCATTTTTGTTTGTCTTGGAGGCGCCGAACACAGTTTGAGACAAACTCATGGTGAATCCTGTCAGTGTGTGATCTTTGGCTTGAGCTGACGTGTTGTAGTTCAGCTTCCATTTGCTTAGTAAAGGCCCTGAACACATGAGAACATATGTCCAGTAGTGATAGATTCCCTTTACAACCAACAGGGGAAAATAACCAAACTATCCATTTCAGCAAATGGAAGCAGCCTTGAACCTCTTGTGTTCTTTTTTGCGCACGGAGCAAGACCCCAGATGGCTTAGCCTCGGATGAGTCTGCAACCTACGGGCAGCCGAATTCTGCGGAGCGGCAAGCTGGTGCTCGACTTAGCAGTTGGCACATTGACATACTGTGGATGGACGAAATCCGGCACCACCTAAGAACGCCCGGAATGGTGTTTCTCCTACAAATACCAGCGAAAAATGGTTTCCCATAGTTTCAAAGTGGTGCAGGATTTCATCCATCCACAGTAGGGGCCAAACAATTAAATTGGGGTCGGGGTTCAAAATACGAATCGGGCCCCAAGAAAAAGGGCTCACTTTTTCGGGTAATTGGTTTCAAAGAGGACCCCAATCCAAATCAGGCAAAGCCGAGGGCCGCCAATTTTCTCTGTTGATAAGCCGTTTGCTTGCCATTGTTTGGAGAGGAGTGCATGATTCCCCGAAACAACTTCCTAAACTTGTGAGTAACTTGTGTAGAGGGTTAGTTGCAGAGAGGCATTGACTTGCGGATTCGGTGGCCTCAAATGGTTGTACTCCAAAGGCCCCTGACACGAGAGCACGAGGAAATCCTAAGAGTAGCCTACGGGTTCTGAGTTGAGTCCGAGCAAGCCCAGTGTGAAAGCAATGTCTGCAAATGCATGAGCATGTTTCCCCCCGCAGAGCCCCTTGAGTATGCACGCATCTGTCTCAAAGGGGGGCTCTGAATTGCGCTCAAGGAAAACCAAAGGAACGCTTATGCAGGGCCTTGGGGAATCACCCTAGAAGCAGGTGTCTGGTGTGTGGGTGCATGTTTTGTTGCCTCGGGGGCAATACATAATATATGTCCGCGACTTCAAAAACATATGCATCTAGCACATTCACATAAACGCACCTCCCATATTCGTCCCGGCGAAACGGTCAGACCGCTTCAGAACCTCTTCGGGATCTTCCAAACCCCATCCCCAACCCCACTCCGACTATTTACTGCCGGAAGCGGGTTCCCTGGTATGCGGCTTGAGTCCGCCGAGGACCGCAAGTCTTGGTACCGGACAGGGACGGCCTCTGGTTTTTTGTCTACTCCCGGGCGTGGCTTGGACTGGATTTGCCGGGCACGACCAAACCAGTGTTCCAATACCGGAAAAGCGTGATGTGGCCCCTGCCCCATCACGTATTTTTTCGGGAATGGCTTCACTATGCGTGTGACGAGAGGGGGGCCACTACTAGCCTCAAGACCTCTGGCTGCGAGTGCCCTGCATCTGCCAAGTCAGGCGTGTCTGCTATCTAGAGATCCAAACCTGCCCTAGCCGCGCGGCAAAAATCCCTGCTCCAACTGCCTCCAGTCCGCCTGAAGCGACGCTTTCCCCCCCTCAAAACCCTATCAATTTCCCCAGAAACCGGTCAACCCGTAAAAACCGGTCCCCCTCTAGAAAGTGATCAAGTCCCTTCTAAAACCGTAGAAACAATCAAACCCCCTTCGAGAAGCCAATAGAGGCCGGACTTCCCATCTGCAAAGACCGGTCCAACTCCAGTCAAACTCCCTTCAGAAACCAATCAAACCCCCTAAAAACTGTAGAAACCGTCTAAAAACGGGTCCAACTCCTGTCAAATCCCCCCAGAAACCGGCAAAATTCCCCCCCAGAAACCAGGCAAATTCCCTAGAAAATTGCACCTTCGTTTGGCCCGCCATTCTGTAGCTCTCTGCGGCTCTGGCCGAGGCGGGCAACGCGAAGCGTTTACAATTATGTTGACAACGAGCACCCAGCTAGAGTTCTTGGTCCAGAATTTGTTGGCCACCGTTTTGGAGAACCCGGCCTAATTGGGCGCTTGATGAGATTCTAGCCTTCGAAGTTAAAGACCCTTATATACTATGCCCATGACGCTGCAAACCATGATCCCACAAAGGGAAACTATAAGCACCACCGATGAACCGCGTTGTGTTTGATGAGGGGACCCCCTGAAATTTCGAACAATTGGAAAAAAGGAAAACTCAAACGTCGCTGCAAAGACTCCTGAATATCCACCCCCAAACTAGCAACAGCATGCCTCCGCCCCCTCGAAGAACAACCCCCCCCGCCCCCCAACTTGTTGACGAGAAAACCCATCCCACTGGTGGTCTTTCCAAAACCACTCCATTCCAAGCCCGAAAATATTCCAAGGACCCAAAACCGGGAGCCCCCCCCGCAAAAAAAAACGAACAAAAAACAGAACTCCTTCCAACTCCTTCCACCAGCTCCCCCCGCGCCCCACCCCAGCGTCTCCCCGCTTCTCTCGCGCTTCTCTCGGCTCGGCAGCAGAAGGCCCTCCCGGCCTATCCGCCGCGCCGGCCCCATGGAGCTGAAGGACGAGCAGCAGGCCCAGCCTCAGAGTAGCTCAGCTCAGCAATTCTCTGTGCCCCAAAACTTTTGGGTGTCCAATGGAGGGGTCGGGTCTTCCATTGAAAGGCCCAGGAGCCTCTGGGCAGTAACTCTAGGGGTTGATTCCGTTTCCATTCTTGTCAACCATCGTTCTTTCCTGGCCGGATTGGAGAAAACCGCCAGCCAGCGCGCGTTTCCGCTGACTGCAAGGCTTCGGAAATTCCCCCGAGGCGCGTTGCCAGCGCGCGAAAAGAAGGCCATGGGGATCAGTTTCAGTTCCAGGGGTTGATTCCTTTTCCATTCTTAACCATCCTTTGCAAGAACCGGATCCGCTTTCCCTGGGTTTTTGATGGTTTCCTGAAAAGATTCGGATCCCTGGAAAGAACGGGGAAGGTACCCCCAGATATGTCCGGCGAGGCAAAACCACGCAAAGCCAAGAATTTGGGGACCCAAAACTCAAGAGGGAAACTTGGCGCCAAGACTCCAGGGAGCCAAGGGGGAAATTCAAGGAGCCAAAACTCCCAGAAAACCAGGCGACGAGGGTGGACAAAGGGCCACCCTTGAAATATCTATTATCCCGGGCGATTTCATGGACCGAACGGACCCCGAAGTGGAAGACTCGGGAAAACCCATTTAGAGAGGCCTTCTTGGAGCTTCCGGCTGTGTGTGTGAGGGAGTGCCAGTAAAAGTAGCGGCAAAGGGTGGGCGGCCCCTTGTGGCGGCAATCAAAGGCAAACCTTGAGAACCCCAGAAAATGCAACTACTTTGATAAAGGGGCGCAACATGAGGGCTGTCTTATGGGAGAAAGCAGTGGGCATTCTTCTTTGGCAACTAACCCCTGCGGTCCAGTGGCAAGTTTGTGAAAGTATCCAAGGTCATCCTTATTTAGCTGCCACTGTCCCAAGGCTTCGCGGCTTCGCACTGCCCAACTGTCCCCCTGGTGTAACCTCAAAACCGGTTTGAACGGTGAAAACACCCTCGGAAGGCAACCACTTGCATATTTTTGGGTTGGGACGCGTGTGTTCTAGGGTCTGGCTTCTTACGGGCGTGTCTTGGTTTGAGGCTACCCCTGTTTTGGGGTGGTCTTATATAACGGGAAACATGGGAAAAGCCCACCATTCCTGGGGGGGTCCACTAAAGACACGCCCTTACTTACTAACCCTGGTTCAACACAAGGACCCCTTTTGGTGCCCCCAAACCACCAAGAGCCGGAATCCGTCCAGGGCAAGCCCATCCTAAGAAGGCCAACCAGCCGCCAGGCTTAAGCCCAGGGCGTTTTCCCTTTAGCTTCCTTTTAGCCAATGTGAAAAGGGTACGGCCTGCAGACGCAATCTAAGGAGCAGAAATTGCTTTTTACACTCCTTAAAGGTTAGGAGCGAGAGCGGGGAGGAAGCCTGGCGCCGGACACTGGAACACTTGTGCCGAGCCTCACAAAGACAAACACAACACACCGCAGCACACACCATATGACTCAACCAATTCCAACTCAATATCCACAAGATGGTCCAACCCTGGTGATTGAGGGTGGGCAGAGTCCATCCAGGGTGTTCAAATCCCAGCTGCTCTCGTTTCCTTGGGCTTGCCAACGGGGATTTTGGGGGACGCCTTGAGGTTTAAGTTGGCTGTGGCTCAAAAAATAGGTAGCCAAAATGGCACCTTGGTAAATGGAACCAAGGACTAAAAGCTGCGCAACCCCGGCTCTTGAATTTTGAGCCACACTTAGGGGTCCCTTCCTCGAGCTTGAAGGTTTCCACTTCGGGGTTCCACTTCAAAGCTCAAATTTTCCTCGGGGGTTCCTGGAAGTTCCGGGTGGAAGGGTTCCCTGGCGCTCGGGGCTCCTTTCGCCTTGGTCCAACCTAGGCTAGAATTGGGACCCCAGCAAAAACATATCTTTTTTGCCTGGTTAGTGGAAAACAAGGGGACCCCAAAAAAGCAAAAAAGGAAAAAGGGGAGCTCATTCTGGGGAAGCAACTTGGCCCCACACAAATGCCGTGCCGTGCCATGGGCCTCGCCAAGGTCTCCGCTTCCCCCGCGCTCGGCCGCCCCCGTGAGATGAAAAAAAACCGAACCCCACCCAACGAGCAGGGATCCTTACATTTTACACCTGAACATTGCAACTTGTAAATGGTGGTGTCCCTTTGTTTTGGTGGAAAAAGCAACATGTTTCAAGTGGTTGCAAAATGTATCTTTTAAGGAGCCCTGACGAGTAGGGGGCGCTTCAAAAAATGCCGACCAAGACATGTGGGAGAGTCTCTGCTGTTTTGAAAAGGACGTATCCCCCCCAACATCCCCCCCCAACATGGCGATGTCGCCTTTTGGTTTCCCTGTAAAACCATCAAGAAAGGGGACCATGAAAAAGGACAGGGCCATATTGCAAGGGAATAAGGCAAACCTTTCTTACCGCAATATACCGGGGCTTTGTGGTTGTGAGGTCGTTGGATGTGGCAGGATGTGATAGGTTCACTTGCAGTATTTCGTCAATCCATCATAGCTCGTCGGTGGCCTTTCCCAAAAGGGTGTTTCTTTTCTGAGGGTATCCTCTTTGGGATGGTGTCAATGGAAATCAACAGGAACCACCCATCACGATGGACATTGCCATAACTGATCAATCGTGATTCCTTTTGTACAGAGCATCATTTATCAACCTCCTCATAGGGATGCATTACTACTAGCAAGTAGGTGCCTTTGCGTGCGGATGCCCATGCTACGGCCACGAAATGACTTCGATCCACCCCCAGGCATTTGTTTGCCTGTGGTGCAAAAGAAACTGCCGTGTTCACGCTGTACTTTGTCAGAAGTTACTTTTCGCAGTTGAGCAGCCGGCCATACTTTCACAATCACGCGCCCGGATTCGTTTGTTCGGTATTTACAGGGGGGGTATTATATCAGAAGCCGAGCCTTTTTTGGGTGGTGCCCAAGAGGATTTCGTCCACTGAGACGCGTGATACTTGAGGAGGGCTGTAGACATCGTCATGTTGAAAGAGACCCCAAGAGTATTGGTTTGATTGGTTCTGCAAAAGCAGAACCAACATGAGAGTCGGCCAAGATGTGATCTGTCTGCATTGAATCATTGAACAATGCAACAACATGTGGTGGTTTGTCCTTTTTTGAGCGTACCCATGTTTCGAAAAATCAAAGGAACACCGAAGCCATATGGCCCTTTGGCCTTGGCAGTCGCTGCGCGAGGAGCACGCTGCCTGCGATTTTCCGGTGCGCAGCAATGCAAAGGCGCAAAAGGCGGTGGTCAAGGCTCCTATGAAACTCTGGTTGCAAATGGCTTGACTCATCCCTGGGGTTCAAACAACCTTTAAAACAATGGGGGTTCATATAACTACCATTACTTACCGAAGGATTGTCATCATCTAAATTGGGTCAACCTTTGTTTTAATGGGGGTTGAACCCCAGGGTCATGTTTATGCATATGCATATATGCGTTGGTCTTTTGTACCCCCATTCTATGTAAGGGGGTCCACTAGTTTCCCTTCACAACCAACCCCAGGGGGCACACCAAGAAAAGACAAACCTATATACAGATACGTGTATGCATAATGATGCATAATCACACAGGCTTCTCTAGCCTTTCGGTTTCCATTCGTCTTCTCTTTGCTAGGTCCTCCAGTAGAGAGGTTAGTATAAGGGTACCAACCTTTGTCTGTCGTGACTTTTAGTCGGGGAACCTAGTTTGGCTTCCCAAAGCCAGAGGTTTCATCAAAAAAAACTCCGGCCACCAAAACTCAAGAATGACTTGGCAAGGGAAGGGTGTGCTGGAACGTGTCTGATTGCTCACTGCTGCACCTTACGATTGTGCTTACACTCGTTGCTTGTAGCCTTGCAATTCACAAGTTCCATGCTTGTGCACTTCTCAGCAGCTTCAGTTGCTCACCGCCGCTCAAAAAAATCCGCACCTCAGCAGCATGAGGGCCGGGTCGGCCTGGCGAATGCTTGCCCAGCGAATCGGCTGAAGGGCTTGGTGCTTTGAAGTCGTTGGCGCTGGATTTCCCCAGTAACTCTGGGGGTTGATTCCCCATTCTTTCCAACCATCGTTCTTTTCAAAGCAGTTTCCCCAGGGTTTGGGGTGGTTTTGTAGAAAGAAGGATGCCTGGAAAGAATTAAATTGGAAGGTACCCGTAGAGGAACACCAAGAGAGTTTCACCCACTCAGCTTGATTGGAGCGGCAGTTGAAACCCAGCAGCAGTGTCAAACTGTTTGCCAGCTGCTGGTTCACAGGATAGTTTGGTCAAACCAAGGAACAGCCAAGTTCACACGTTATACACCTCGAACATAGGCTTTAGTGTCTTTCGTGTTTTAAGGGGTCACTAGATTTCCCCGAATCAACAGTTGATCAATTTTTAAGTGGTGGTGGGCATTGAAACAATCGCCACTGTTGGATGGGGAAATGCAGGAATGGAGGTTGCAAAAAAGGAAATCAAATAGAGGAAACCCTGCACTTTGGAGTACCATGACTGTTTTGACACGTCACAAGTTGTATCTGATTGCCAATGACTCACCAGCCAAGAGATCTAAGCCAACAGGAGTGATAATTCAACATATGCCATCCCCGGCTTTCCTGGCACCCGTCTTTCCTTGTACCCAGTTCTCTGACCGGCCCTGCAACTCTTCAGTTGACGGCAACGGGGTCATATGGCTATGTGTCAAGACGAAAGCCACCAGGAATTGGACTGCAGCTTTTGGTCCTTTCCATTCAGGGTGCCAATTCGGGAACCTAAGCTTGACCCACAGCCATATTTGCTTTCCTTTTCCACAAACAATCTGACGACTCAGTGGCCCGATGATTGAACTGGACCTACTGTGGATGGTCGAAATCCTACACCACTTTGAAACCATGGGAAGCCATTGTGTGTTGGCATTTACGGGGGAATCATCATTCCAGGGTTTCTTAGATGGTGCAGGATTTCGTCCATCCACAGTATGAACTATGCGTCCCGAAAGCCAGCAATGGAGGATTCCAAGGAGGGATCGATTCCCCAGGCTTGTCATAGGAGAACTTCCAGATCCAAAACTTTCACCTTGCCCAGTCAAAGGGGCAACCCTCAGTAAAGGGAAGGCCAAAAGAGGCCTTTCTTGGGCTGTTGGGCTCGGGTGCTGGATTTCAACACCGTGCACTGCCGAATGCGGAACAAACAGCATCACTGAGAGCTATGAAAGCTGGGTGTTGAGTCTGAACTACTACTGTGGATGGACAAAATTATGCCCCGCCTACACAGCCCTGGAATGATACGATTCCCCGGTAAATACCAACTTCCCATGATTTCAAAGTGGTGCGAAATGAATTTCGTCCATCCACAGTATGGGAGAACTCTTAGGATCCGCCAATTGAAATCAACACATTCCCATGTTGGAGAATGTAGTCATGGGTGAGCTCGTTTGGTGTTGAGCTTCTTGTACATGGTGCAGACTTGTGATACATAACTGGATCTCCTATGACATGCCCGTACATGCTATAAACTAGGCGCGTGACTAGTCAACGACACAGCCACGGGTGCGTCTTTTTTTGGGGGACACCCCCAAACAAAAAAAGGTGGTTCTCCTTGTTCTTTACCTTTAAAAC